GCAGTTCTTCCCCGATTTTCGAAATGATGTGCTTCGGACAAGACAGGTCGAATAGCTCTCCTTCAAATGAGTTCATCAACATTAAAATTAGGATATTTTCGACAGAAAAATATGAGTAAAAATAAAAGCGTTATGAGCTTCATGATCGGCAGGTTTTACACCCAAAGAACACTTCGCATTTAGACGATATGCATTACAATTACGTGTCGAACGGTAGATATTCATCAAGGCATGACATTATGTAAGCTTATTTTGTCACACGGGTTTCATAATAATAAGTGAAGATTACCCATGGCAGCGGTGCGCACCTTTGCGAAATGAAACGCATTTATTGTGGTTCTTTTAATTATAATGGGCCTCGCGTGTTTTTTTTTTTTTTTTCATGAAAGAACATGTTCGAAATGTCAGGAAATAAATCTACTGTTTAAAAATGTACGTGGTGCAGAAGTTAAGCCAAGCTGAAATTCAATATTTGGCTTGAGACGAATCAATTTGAAGAAAAAGTAATTAAACCACAGATGGAATTATTTTTCAAAAGCTCTCTAAAATCAGGGTGAGTCTCATGTATTCGATGGCGTCTTTGATAACAATAAAATAACTCACGCTCTTGCTTGCAAGTACAAAATACTCTACTTCAAATGCTGGTACTTGCTGTTAATTCAATAAAGGAACCCGTCATCAATATCTTTTTTTTTTTAGTCAAGGAGTACGAGGCTCGGAATCCTAATTTTAATACGAGGTTTTTGAGAAGATTAAGCATTTCAACTGAAGCGAGAGTAGAATCTGACAAAATTGCAATGCGATTATACAGCGGAGACCTTATATTGGCGATCAAAATGTCTGCGGTGCAAAAAACACTGGTGCAACTTTCACCGAACGAATAGGCAATGCATCAGTAATGCTTATATACAGTACTGTATATGCTTAAACGTCGTCCTTCACACGTTTAGATCCGCAAATACATTTAAAGTATTCAATAGAAAATTCAGGGAATATCTGACGGAACCCGGGGATCTTGATCTGACATTTAGATTCACTCCTCTCATTCCCTAGGAAATGTACCCGGATTTCGAATCGAAAGCAAGTCGTCTTCCTAGTTTTTTTTTGCAAGAAAAGAAAGGAAAAACTAGGAAGATTATGGGAGATGCAAGGTCACGGAGATCGAGACCTGGGATTCCCCGAAATGTTCCGCATAAAGGTAGGAAGCTTGTTTCCTTGTTTCACCTTTGCTTCTTTTCATTGGACGCCTTTTTTTTTGTCGCAGAAAAAAAAAAGAAAAGAAAGAAGAAGAAATTCTGTACGAGAGTCGCACAGGGTGGCCCTCACCTTGGGACGAAGGCCGGGCTGGAGCACGGATCGTCGGCCGTAAGAGAGTGATGCGAGTAGCCCTGCAGGTCGCCCTTGACCGCCACGGCCTGGCCTTGGGGCGCCGCGAGTGCCAACAACGGCAGCAGCAGCACCCGGACCGCCGCCGTTATCGCCTTCATCCGCCGTTGCGACCCTGTCATATCGCGCCCTGCAGCCGCGCCCTTATTTTATGCCGTCGCTTCCGACTGCACCGAAAATTTTTTTTAAATATGGATATTGCTTCTTTATACGCGTGCGATTATTCAGTACCTGGTCCAGAGCGGATGAAAGGGATTTTACTTATATAAGGGATTAACCAGAGCTTGATATGAATGCAGCAGTGTTGCTGAATACAATGAACTCGCAGTACTGTGGGTCCTTGCATAACTGAAATAATCTGCTCCAGGATGGGTTTCGTTGCTTTCGAATTTCTTCTTGTGAAACATTAGTTTCTATTGGATATAAATAATCGATAAGACGTGAATTCATTCCAAACACTCACGAAACACTATTATAAGCCCATAAAAACCTATGTCCAGGTAATTTT